ACTACTACTACTACTACTACTACTACTACTACTAACTACTAACTAACTATTTCTCAGATGATCTCAGATTGCTCATTCCAACTCATTCGGGCTCAGTCAACTGTTGTGTCCAGTGCAGCTAAGGTAAGCGCAAACCCCGCTTCGTCGTCTTGGAAGAGGCCTGGTCCGGGATGTCCGGTTTCCAAAGCCAATGACAAGGTTCTAAAAGCCTAGCAGCCTAGTCATGCTCAGCACACTCCGGAGGAACAGAGATTTAAGACTCGAGTTTATAAGGATGGGAGCAGTTGGATTTACAAACAGCAATTGAGGGGGGCCGTCTTTAGACTTCAGGTTCATATGACTTCATAAACCGACTGTGTGCCTGTGATATTTTGCGATGATGCAGCAAACGCGTCACTGTCACTGCAAGTCCACTATCATTGCTGGAAGCTCTGTCAGGTGTCTTCAGTTTGCGACCGCTGGCCTGAAGATATAGCGCGCGAGGACTCTTTCTACCAGACCTACCCAGTTTCTCATCAGCAATCGAGCTGGAAAGAAACGCAAGCATTGCATTGCAAGCTTGTTTTGTTCGGTTCAATTCATAGTTCCCTCAGCTTCATTTCTTCCTGGGCCTTGATTCAGTAAGAAGAAAGAGTAAAGTTCACTGTCACCGCGGGTTCTGTTTTGCTCCTTTCTTCTTTGTTCTTCAGTTCTTCAGCTTCTGCAGTTGTGATTCCTCAAAAACACGCAGAAACAGTCACAACGTAAAGTCACAACGCAATTCAGCAGCAGTGTCACAGCAGTCGGTCAGCAGCTTTAGTTTTATGACGAAGCGAAGCAAGCCAAGTCGGCTACAAACAAGTTTGTGCATGTCCAGTTCATTTGTTTGTGCCTCCATCAGCTTTCGCAATTTCAGAGAGGGAGTCGTGTGTCCTCCAATTCTGCACGAGTCCTGCCGGATTAATGCCACTCTCCGATCTATGGAGTCACATTGAATTGGACAATGAGGTCCCTGCTGATGATGTGACTCAAATGAGAAGAAGGTTGCAAACAGCTCCTGCCCGTGTAGCTAGTGCAAATGCCAAGAGACGTAGCCGGGAAGTCGCTCAGTCATGTCTAGAAACTCCGGAGCAGAGTCATGGCGAAGGTGGTGAATTTGCCCAGAGATTGCAGAAGGAATATTTGACCCAATCTTACCAACTACAGAACCATTTCATACAAAGCAGCAACCCTGATAGCAGTCAGTTCACTGACGCCAGACAGCGGGTTTCCAGAGAACGGGCTAGATGCATTTGGAGTTTCATGAAGCAAATGCTGAAGACACTGACTGGGTTGTTTGAGAATCAGAATCATGATCGAGATGTTGCCCATCTTTGTTGCACGGTGATCGCAGATGATACAAATACAAAGCTACGAGAACAAACATTTGAGAAAGCAGTGACTTTCACTGTGATGAACACGGTACAGTCGGTCTTCCTCCGGTATGGGCCTGGGAACCAAGAGAACCATGACGATGAACATGCTTGGCAAGGCCTTTTTATACCAAGCCCAATGCAGGTCCTGCAATCAGCAAAGGCCCGCTCTCTACATTCGTCTCTCGTGTCATGGCTGGTCCACACTTCTGAAGGAATGGGTTGTCAGTGGGTTAGACTTGGGGCATCAAGCTCATTGACATCCAGAGCCAAGTGGAGAACCACCATCCTGATTGGAGACGCCTTAAAGGCAAACAGTGCCGCTTGGCGGATTGAGCTCCAGGCAATGGCTAGGTCCAGGCAAGATGAGTCCACCCAAGGACAAAGGTTGTTGGGGCTCCGAGTGAAGTGCGTGAACCATCAAGTCGCTCTTGTACGACGTCCTGTTGTTCTGAGTGTGGAGGGCTTCTGGACAAGTCTTGTCAGACTCGGTCATCTATTTGAAACAGTGTCATTTCGAAGGGCCTTGAGTTCAGCCTTGATGTCCCTGGTCCAAGCGGAAGGAAACTTCCTCCGAGCCTGGGCAGAATTATAGGCCCTGATATCCACATAATTCAATACATACAGACTCGATATGACTTGTGACTAGACTGGACTCGGACTTATTTAAACTTATACGTCATAGTATGTTCATAAACAACACAAGACGACTGGTTGGGGAGGCCTATCAGGCCCAATCAGCCATCAGGCTTTCACATGAGGCTCATTTCGCATTGCCAGTCAGTCATTGTTATCCGAGGAATTCCGGTGGCAGAATTTCCTCCAGAGATGCAAGCTTGGCAGAAGAGGTCGCAGTGGTTTTGCCGAGATTTTGTCAGCAAGAGCCGCAGAGCAAAGGAATCACTTGAAGCACTTTTCAAGGTGGCAAATGGAGATACGTCTTCCTCTGTCATTACACACTGGTGTTTGTTGCCGCAAGGGGCTAGCAGTAGAGCATGTTGCGAGTCAGACGAAGAGGCCATGTACAAATTCCTCAGCCACGCAATCTACTTTTTCGGGCGAGGTTTTGATACACCACTCCTATACAGACTCAAACACTATGGACCCGCCAGTAGCTTTGTCAAGATTGGATCCTGTGTCCATTCTATCCTTCCACGAGTGTTGAAACACATGGATGAGATCAACAAGCATCCACAGCAACAAACAGATGAGGAGAGCAGGACCTTCATCGACTCCCTCCTGTCAGACAATCATTCCTCAGAAGGCCTGCTCTCACAGGATTTCCAAGCTCTTATGTCTGAGTGCCTAGACCTGCATGAGAACTATGCTGCCCAGAACGGTTTGAGACGCAAGCTGGTGACACAGCATTTGAGTGCAGAGAATTTTGACAAGAGCGCGAACCTGATTGACTCACTGATCAACCCAATGGAATATGCAGTGAATTTTCTCATTTCTCACACCAAGTCTTTGAATGCTCTGACTTTTGTCGGGCAAGGTCATCCCAAAAAGGAAGAGTTGATGAGAGACACACAAAGCAAATTCCTGAAAGTGATTTCAGGCAGACTGGCAGACGAGCTGATCCAACGTTACATTATGTTTTTGGACACTGGCCTGAAGGAAGCTGAGGAAATGGGACTGGCGCCAGATGGGTCACTGCTGAATACAGCCTTTGCAATGGCATTGGTTTGTATGGCAGACATCCACAGAAGGCTCAAAATGGAGTTCCGGGTTCCTCCTTTCACGCTATTTCACTGGATGGATCTCACCACAGATGATTTTGTCCGATCGTTTTCTCAGCTTGAAGCCAAATTTCGCAGCTGCCCTCATTGCCTGGACCTCGCTCTATCCTCCGCCCTGATGAAGGAGTTTGCTGGTCTTGAGAATCAAAGTCTTGAAAGCCAAAGATCAGCCCACTGTGAAATATCAGCATTGCTCAAAGACATCAGCACATTCAGTGCAATCACGTCTGATTTGGTGGAGTTAAAGAACGGGCAAGTGCAACTCGACGACCATCCATTAAGCTGAACCTTTGATTTTGATCTTAATTTTGTTTTGTTCGTTTGGGGCTGGTGTATTTCAAGAAAAATGAGGCAATGGATGGCATCTCGCCGTGGATCTCAGAACATTAAAGGAGGGCCCTCTGCCTCTGAGACGACTTTCCTGCAATCTGCTGTTAAACAGCACATGTGGGTTCAGCATGAAGTCGCCTCGGCAACCATGCCAGGCAAATCTGTGACCGCGGGTATCTTGAAGATGTCCGGAACCAAGTCCTCCAACCAACACTCCAATGATGACACTTGACTTATCTCAGAAAGTTTCATTGATGCACTGGTGCATTTGCACTCGCAGAGAATCAACACAAAATGTTGTTCTGATTCTAGTTCAAGAAGTTCTTGTGTGAGTCATCGTCATTGTAAAGATTACAGTAAGTAAGATTACATAAACCAAGGTTAGCTTTTTGACACCGCGCTTTTGAAACCTAGGAAGCCCGTCAACTTCGCAGTCATACTACCAGAGAGTCAGAAAGGGAGAGGAATCAGCGGCTTCAGAAAGCCCGAACACGGAAAATTAGAAGACTCAGCGCCTTCAATGTCTTCCAAAGGGAATCAATGAAGGATAAATCATTCAAGAAGGATGAGTACAAGACTTTCATGAAAGAGCTGAGTGCAACGTGGCGAAGCATGCCTCAGGAAAAGAAGGATGAGTTCCAAGTCCAAGCTGATCACCAGCAAGGCCTTCTAGACAGTTTGGAGTCACAGCCACTCCCACTCGAGGGCAAAGCGTGCGAGGATGAGAGTGGGGGTGGTGATACTGTGTGGCGCAATGCGAGCAAGAAGCGCTCAGCTCGTCGGCTTGAAGTCAACAAGGGAAACTTTAGGCAGCATTCTGTGTGGGACTTGCCAACGCAGTATGGAGACTGTGACCTGACAGCATGCATTTGCATGTGATATGATATCAATGGACCCAGTGTACAGTTTCCCCTTTGCATGCGTGGCAGCGGCTGTCAGTGGAAGTGAGCCTCCTTGCAGCAGGCTCACTTCCACTGTGAGCCTTTGCCCCGCACCCAAATTATCAGACTCAGTGAGTGGGATTGTCTGGATCCATGTTTGGTTGACACCTGCAGAAACCATTGACCAGCTGAGGTGATGGAGCTCTTAAGCAGGCCATGATTGACATAGAAACAGCAGACAAGGACATTGAAGAGCTCCTCAAAGTGACCTTGCATATGCCACCTCCTCTATCTCCACTGTTGGAAGACTTTGATCCACACGATCAATGTTGTCAGCCATACTTGTGTGAGAAGGCGCCTCACTACCAGAGTGTGCGTACTTTGGTGGCGAATCTTTCCAAGCATATCCATTTGAACAATTTGAAGCCTGGAACGCTTTTGTTGGTCTCAAGTGAGGGCTATCCTGACAAGACAATCGCTGTCTTCTTGGGGGTAGTGGTGCGCAAGCTCAGACAGCACGTTGTGATAGAAGCTAGTGTGGATGATAGCGCTGCAAGATTGAAGTTGTACAGTGGATCTCCACGAGTCTTCACTTCAGAGGAGCTTTTCATGCCGTTTGTGATTGGCAACCCGTTTCCGAGTATTTTCTTTGAAGCCTGGAAGTGCCAAGCTTTTATGCAGAATGGAGAGCTCAATTCAACCCCAGATACTATTTTGACATCCTTCGAAGTGACAACAACACCCATAAAGCGGGAAAAAGGGAAGATTGTCAAAATTAAGTTGCCATTCGGCATGGATAAAGCCCTGCAGCGTCAGAGAGAGAAACACAAGAAAAAAAAACACAGGAGTGAAGAAGAAGACAAAGACAAAGACAAAGCCGCAGCTGCAACTGACCAAAGGTTTTGGGATTGCAGTTGCAAAGCCGGCTGCAGAGACAGGTGAGACCAGTGCTGAAGAAGAGGATCCCAGTGACTCAAGCTCTGCCCTGAGTGACTTGGATCAGGATGAAGAAATTGATCCAGAGAAGGAGTCTGAACGCATGGCTCCAGTTTCAGAGATTTGCAGGTCAGAGCAGAAACAGATCAAACAACTTGCGGAGGAGATTGAAACTGCAGACCATATGAAGCAGTCTGTTGCTGAATCACTTCGCAGTGGAGCAGCTACTTCTGGCTCTTCCTTTTTTTCCCGAGAACTTGGGCTCCATGAAGGAGGTATAGCTGCATCCGCTAGATCAGTGTGTCTGCATTGCAAGTCAAACATTCCTAAAGGCAGTGTCCGGTTCTCTTGGTATTACTCGAAAGCTCGTCCGCATGGCTGGGTGCACGGGTATTGCTTGTACCAGCACGCAAAGCAGAATGAACTGATGGGTTCAACCAAAACCAAACTCAGTGAGATTCTTCGGGCCACTGCTCCAAGGGCAGCAGCAGCCGGTTCGAGCAAAGACAAGGCAGCAGTGACGACTGCAAACTCTGAGGTTTTTGCAATTGCCACGAAGGTCTTTGAGTCTTTGCCGTAGCTGCAGCAGTGGTGATCAAATATCAGGTGTAATATGCCGTATGCCGCCACATGCCGATGCCGTGTGTTGTATCTGTCTTTTGACACCTGGGCCTGGGAAACCCATCCAGAAGCAAAGACAAACTGCACATAAGACATAGTGAGTGCGTGAGATGAAAAAGCGAAGGTGTCCGAGTATCTGTTTGTTTTCTTACAGGGATTGATTCAGTGATACCCACTGACACATTGGAATTGACAATTTGTCTCAGCAGCTATAACTTAACCTATAGCCTATAGGCTGCAGATATCTCCAACCCAAACGCAAGTCGAGTGAATGAGCTTATCATTGCTTGCTTTGGATTGCGGTTGAGGCTCCAATTGACTTCATGCTCAAAGGCAAGCTGGGGAAGGAGTCCATTGGGTTGCAGCTCATTGAGGGCTACAGCCTGGAGATGGTCCATCTTGAGCAGCTTCGCTACAGTGACTGGTTGGGGGGGTCAGTTTGTGAGTTGTCCAGCCCAATTAGTCAGAACTTAACTGACTATCTCACAGAATCTCACATCACTTATTCATTTGTTTACTAGAATCAAGACAAGTGCAAGTGTAACTGGTAGTGTTCGCTGTCAGACATCATTCTAAGAGTAGGTAGGTATATACAGTCTTGGATGGAGCACCGCAGCACCACTGTGTTTTTGAGCACATTGTGACATTGACATTGTAGGATTGCTTCAATGTTCACCTCCTGAACCTCCCAACCTCCCGAACCTCCCGGTTGAGTCTTGCTTGCCTCTCCTAAGGAGCTCTCGATTTGGACCTCCACAAACAAGGAACCGCATCTTCATTTTGATGTCTCGTGAGTTGGATCAAGGCGAAATGAAGTCACTTGCTCATCTGGTGACTGATGTGTTTCAGCGAGCCATTACTGAGAGAGCCACCATAAAGGACGTAGTGACGTATGTTCGACACGTCCGAGATGCGTTTGACATGGAACTTCACTATCCACCAGTCTCCAGGGATCCTTGGTGACATGCAAGGGTCAGTTTGCTGCCTTTTGACCTTGCCAAATGACAGAAGAGTTGGCTGGGCTGGGCTTTCCAAATGACCTGATCCAAAATGAGATTTGACCCTGTGACACCTCCAATCTTAGTTTGACTCTCCTCAACTTGTCCTTTTTGGTTGGTTCGGGGAGAGGGTGAAGCCGCTAGCCGCCTTAATCGTGAATTTCGAGGATTGTTCTGGGGGGGGTTATATATAGTTCACAGGTTTTTATATATAGTTCAGGAGTCTGACATTAGCCTCTGGGCCTCTTTGTTGAGGATTCCATTAAGTTGGTTTCGAATTGTTTTTGCTTTTGTCAGGGGCCCCTCCCGGTCATGGAAGGAACCATACAGGGTCCAGGAATGTCGCCTCGCCGAGTGAAAACAGTGTTTGCAGTTTTTGGCATTACCGATCCCAGGATGGCCGGACCTCTGCCGCCTCAAGATTGCGGATTGAGGAGCTGAAGGACTTTTGGCACGTTGGGCTGGATGCTGCTCCCTACACATCCACCCTTTCAGAAGATGTCCTTCAAAAGCTGAACCAACGTGAGCGAGATTCACTGGACATTCAGTATGCTGCGCTTTCAGTCGCTCGGTCAATCGAGCGAAGGCACAAGGATAGGGTAGAGAGAGAGAGAGAGAAAGACAGAATCAGAAGACAAACAACATATTGCGACTTAGTGTAATGGTTAAAATTAGATTGTTGTTTGACTTTGAGCTGCTTTTATACTCAGAAATCAAAGATCTTAAAGAACATGATGCGAATGATGTCGTGCACTTTATATATAGTTCGGAACCGTTCGGAACCGTTCTGAACTATATATAAGAAAAGTTTAAATATAGTTCGGAACCGTTCGGAACCGTTCTGAACTATATATACCCTCCACCACCAAATAGTTCAGAATAGTTCGGAATAGTTCGGATAGTATATATAGTCCGGAACCGTTCGGAACCGTTCTGAACTATATATAAGAGAGAGAGTTTATATATAGTGCGGAACCGTTCGGAACCGTTCTGATCTATATATAAATTGGCCTTTGCTAGACTTATGTTACTCAAACATCGTTAGCATCGCGTCACACATCATTAAGGCTCAACCTCTATTGAAGTTCAACTCATGACCCAACATAACTGACTTGACTTGACTTGACTTTAACAAATAAATAAAATGTTAACTTTATGACTTTATGCTCATAAGAAGTTCACTAAGAAGTTTAGTTCTACTCGACTCTGACTCTCTGTCGTCTATCATGTCAAATCTCAAGGGTCAAGAGTCAAGAGTTTGGAGTTCCTGCAACTCTGTTACTGCATCCACAGGCAAACCTATGTTGAGTGAGCTATGACTTTGACAAAGTGTGTCGGGAAAGCTATATGTGATTTGCTCAAAGTATTTTGTCATATGAGTCATATGTAAAATATAACTTCTACAGGAGACTGTAACTGTACATGTAAAACTTTTGGTCTGTAGACTATGACTAGACTATGTTGCTATGCGTCCATGATTTGCCTGGAGAGCCGGAGAGCAGCTTCGGGTTCTTAAAAACTTAGACACCATCCGACAGCTGATGCTCTTGCACCTGTGTGGTTGTGACATCTGGATGAGTGAGGATGAGGAAAGGATTAGTTAATTAGCTTTGGGAGTAGGAGGATTTGAAGGACGAGGATCGGCAGTGCGGATGCGCTTAGTACAGGCTAAAGAAGCACGCAGCAACGCACTTGGTAAAGTCTAAGGAACCATGCAGCACGCAGCAGGCAGGAAGCCATCCGTTGTTGCCAGTGACCCGCATTATAGACTGACTGATAGACTGGCCCGCGGCCCGCGTTGTTGTTAGACTGTAGTATTCATGTAATATGCGCGGTGGTGTAGTAAGCAATAGACAATAGATTAGATGTGATGTGATAGATAGTGATAGTAGTGTTATGTATGAGTAAGGTATAAGGTGAGTGATGTGCGTCCGGGTTTAATGGATGATAAATAACTGAGTGAGATATATTATATATCATGTATCATATGATCATATGTTAATATTTTACGTTTTTGTTTTTTTGTAATCGCATACAGAATCGAATCTATCGGTCGTTGGACCTCCACACTCCAGCAAACTTTTGCACGAGGGTAGGGAAAAGGACATTGTACAAGTGACGGGTTGACTCTAGACATGGTAGGGTCCAGTAGATGAGATGGGTTGGGCTTTCGTGCCAGCATTTGAGGCCTGGGGAAAGAAGCCGGAGGAGAATATGTGCACATCTGACCTGGCCCGTTCCTGGGTTAAGTCAAACAAAACGTGTTTTTGTTTCCCCTGGAGAGGTAGGTCGACTTCCATCGTTTAGGTTGCTTTTCTTTGTCAGCAACACCTGTGAGGTTCTGCACCCAGGTTTGCAAATGGAGTTGCGGGCTTTTGCAGTGCTCTCACAACAAGTGTGAAGCTGTGGGACTACAGTACACAGGAATTCTTAACGGCAGAGGACTGGTTCAGTTCAATTTCAAGAAATTCAGTTTTTGATTGAATGAGCAAACGGACCAAGTTTGTTGAACAATGCTGCAAGATTTGTTTTGCGATTTGAGATTGAGGAACTAGGAGTCAGGAGTCAGGGGTGAGTTTTTCGAACTTTCCACTAGCGACTGCTACTGTCACTACCGTGTTCGGGCTAACACTGAGAGCGCAGGACCTGTTCACTTTGGAGGGTTTCAATATCAGCCGGATGAATTTCGGAGCTCCGGATGAGTTCAAGTACTCTGATCTCAATGTCTTGGCTGGCATTCTGGCCTGATCTGACCATGTCACAAGTGTCAGGGATCCTCAATCCAGTTTTGTTTTCACAAGATTATGAATCGCGACTCATTTTTGGACTACAATCAAATCATATCATAGAATCAGCATACATATGCGGCGCGATATGTTTTTTGATCTCAGGCAACGGATGGTCAGTACCCGTTGGAGGTGCTGCAATCTTTGCAGCAATTGCTGGCGCGCTTTTTCCAGTGGTTCCACTGCGCAACAACCCTTCGACCTTCCCTGCCAGATGTGATGTGCCTCTTAAATGGCTTGTGAAGACAAGGGGCAAAGACGGGAAAGGGCATGATTCAGAGGTAGAACCAAATCCTCAGATTACTGGAGTGGACACTGATCCAGAAAGCAGTTCAAATGAATCCCCAGATTCCCCAGATATCACTGCGGTTTTCGAAGAGGAAGCAAATTTCTTCCAAGTCTCAAAGGACAACATGTTGCTGCGCACTGCCAACTTTTCTTGTGCAAATTGCAAGACCCCCCTGGCAGCCGGTGACTATGTGGTGGAATGGTGCCTGCCCACTTTTGAGGATCCGACATTTGTTCATGCCCGGTGCTGCCAGGCTTTTGCTGTGGAGAAAGGCATCACGGACCAAATGGCCTTCTCACTGGCTGAGTGTCAAATGACTGCCCCTGCTTGCTTTCACATGAGGATCAATGAGTTGATTCACAAGTTGTTGGGAGAAGATCCAGTGCAGGAACATGAGTCTACCCAGGTTGTAGCTTCCCTCCACCGTCTTCCGCGCTTTGAGGAAGTTGCTGAGAAAGAAGGGGACCAGGAGGACGGGCCCCCACACGCCAAGAAGCCCAAGCTGGCTGAGACAGGTCCTGGGACCTGTGTCAAGATTCTTGATCCACACGAGCCTCGTCCTTCAAGTGCTGCGGACTACGAGGTGTTCCACCTTTCTACTGCATCTGAAGAGATGCGGACTCAGTTTTTGAATTTGCCTCCGCCTCCAGACTCCCAGCCTTTGTTTATTCATGGCTCCTCGCCCCGCGTTTTTGAAGACTATCAACACCAAAGCCGGCCAGAAGAAGAGGATTCGTCCTGGGGCACGTCGGAGTTGAATCTGGTATGGGATATGGATTCACAGCCCGTCATGGACTGATGATGCCGGAAGATTTTGACCCGCTTTTTGAAGCTACAGGCTGCAGGTCCTGTCCCTGTGCAGATTTTGAGGTTCGATGAACTGCAAGAGCAGCATGTTGCGCAGATGTAGAGCCTAGAGCCGTAGTAAGGAGCTTTTCAGGTGGGTGATGTTTTGCATTGACTGTTCTAAGCAGTTGAATGCATTAGACAGTAGCCAGTAGCCGCATTAGCAGCAAAGCCCAGCACACAGCAATTCCATTGTGTTGGCAGTGTGTGGCTTTCAGAATCTTTCAGATCATGGGGTGAGATGCAAAGACGCGTGGAGGAAAGCCACAGTCTTGTTAGTTGTCAATGTTGAGACGCTTGTTTGTGCATTGACGTTGCATGTTGCGGTTCGCGTCTCTGTTGAATTCTTTGAGGGACTCTGTCGTTTCCACATTGTGGCTTTTTCTTGAGGGTTGATTGATTCATCTTTTGCTCACGCACAAAGAGGGGCCGGGCCTCGTTTGAAAGATCAAGATCAGAGCAGCCTTCATTTCGCTTCCCTCCTTTCTGCTTGACGCATGGCAGAGATGGATGATGGTCTCAAGGATGAGGAGGCGGATGAACACATGGTCATGGATGTTGACTTGGAGATCCAAGAAGGAGTTTGTCCCGGATGTGATCAGGAGTTTGGAAACCCTGATGAGGACTTGTGGTGTGAATTTCAAAGGTAGGGTAGGTGGTAGGTGGTCGGGGGGTGGCAGTCCTTGTCATCGCAGCAGCTACTGCAAGTAGTCTCGGGGGCAGGACGCAGATGGCGACACTTCAGTTGTGGTCACTTGTGCCAAGGGAGATAACCGAGCACTTTGCCACCGCTGCTTCTATATCGGCCGTGGCAGCATGAACAAAATAAAACTCCTAGAGTTGGTCAAGTTGTTGAGGACTTGCCCACCACTTCGCAAAAAGCTTCTTAGAAGCAAAGGTGGATCAGTGGATCCACTGTAGTTGCACACCCAGCCTTCCACAGCAGCTTGTTCCTTTCTAGCTCCTACAGCCGGGGTTTGGATATGACCATCGCCGATCGCATTCATCCACTCAGGTTTCGAGCGATGCGGAAAGCTCACTTGAAAGCAGTGCTGAAGAATCCTCGAGCAAAACCAAGGCATGAGGTGTTGGATATCACCCATTACACCAAGAAACGGGAGAGTCGCTATGTGGATTTTGCTCAGGACTTTGGATATGTAATATCATATCTCTGGTTCAGAATCGGTGTTGCGCTTTCTTGTTGTTTTTGGTTTTCATGTGTTCAGACTCCCCCAAAAACAAGTTGCACACCGGCTACCGGTATCCGTATCCACTTTGTTTCTGAAGCCACCCTGGGATCCCGGTTCATGCTAGACATTGGACCGACCTGATTGTTGCAGGACGCTGAGTGGACAGAGTTGAATGCCTATTTCAGCGAGAAGGCACCAGACGAGGTTAAGCGCAAGATCAAGACCACTGCTGCAAAGAAAAATTGGATCACCAAAGTTTCTCACAAACAGCAAACAATTTTTTTAGTTGAGCCGAGCTGCAAATAAAGAGTTGTTCAGTTGTTCAAACTTCGATCTGTTTAGCATTGAGTGCTAAATGACCATGACCATACCATACCATACCGTATGTGACCGTCGCAGAATTGCGAGCTACATTCCTAAGGTTCTGAACCTAAAGGTGCAGCAGGCTGCTTGTCCTCTACTGGTAACGCTTTTGTTAAGTCTGGTCGGGACGCCGTGGCTTTTCCAGATTTTCAGATTTCAGTGGTTGGTTTTGAGATCCAAGGATGACCGTGGCATTGATGGAGTGATTGTGATTCCAGATGTCAACAAGAAGCGGGTGAGGATTGGCACCAAGATGTCCACTGAATCTGTCAGGCAATCTCAGCATGAGAGTGGAACTGCCAGGGATGAAGCCTATCAGAAGCAGTCCAAGAAGCTGGACCTCCAGGTCAATGAGCAGGCCTGCGGCCGGCTCATCTTTCCCTTCACGGTTCCTTCATTACCCTCTCCTATATATAATATATATATATATATTATATATATTTATATGTATTTTATTTTTATTATATTATATAATAGGCAGCGACATAGCGGCATGGTAATAGGAGGAGTCAGAAAACAGACTTATATGTACGGATTCTGATTTGGGCAAACCACATTGCCGCTTTCCACACGCAGAAAACTGAGGGTCAAGAAAACAAACAGGCAGACTGACAGACTCAGACTGACTATTAAGTTGTCCTTTTGGCTGATTGAAGGCCGAGGAAGATCAAGCCCTTGGTGGCCCACTTGAGCCTGACGAGCCGGCTGACGAAGCTGACCCACAATCTGACTCAGACTCCTCTGATGCCGGTTTTGGACTCATGAAGGATTCCAAAGCCAAATCAGCCGCCGCCCCCAAGAAAGGTGTCAAGCCCAGGCGTCAACCAGATGAAACTGAGAAGCCGCAGCCGGCTCCTGCCAGGCCCAGTCGCTCTTCGCCAGAAGAGCTTCAGCAGAAGGGCGAGGAATTGCTGATGACCTTGAGAGGATTCTCTCCAGTTGGTTTTTTCACTGGGGCACTCAAGGAGAAGGACTGGGACGGCAAGCTCAACAAAACTTTGACTTTCGTTGGCCAGTTGGAGACCTTTGACGATGAGGAGTCCAAGAATGTTGCCAAAGGCTTGCAACAGACTGCTGAAGAAATTACTGACAGAATGGAGACTCTCAAGGGTGTGAAGGGCCTTGAGTCAGGTACAGTTGTTCAGGACCTACCTACTATGTCAGCTGATGTTGTTCGGAAGCTTGGCAGTTTGCCAGCAGATTGCTTGACTGCGGTGTTGACCGAGTGTGGGCGCAAACTTCTCCAGGCCCTAAAGTTTTGACCTGACCTGACCCGACTGTCAAACCTGACCTTGGGATGTGTCACTGGGACAACTGGACTGTACTTGAATTTATGCCACTGTTCTTGGTTGTTGTTGGAGATTAGAATTTGACTTTGGTTAATTTGCAGTTGACTCTGCTCTGATTCACCGTGTGTGCAGTTGCCTCACATGGGCAGGATTCCAGTGACTTGAGCCACAGTGTGCCTGTGTTCTTCCGCTACATGAGCACAGCTTCCTCCAGGCCCACTGGATTGTGCTTGCAGACTATCAGTGAACTGGCCAAGGATGGTGGGGGGTGCAGCCTTGATGATGCTGGGATCCTTCGCATTCAGGGGACCTTGTTCAATCATTGGGTTGACCGAGTGAAGACCATGTCAGATGAGCAAGTTGATTTGGTCTTGGGATGCATTCCTCTGCATTTGTGGGACGTGGATCTTGCAAGGCCGGGTGTCCAATGTACCAAGCACATTTTAACCCCGTGCAATGACAGTAGGAAACTATAGCTGGGTAGTGTTGATATGCGCTTCAGCTTTGCCTGACAGGCAGTGCGCAAATGACCCAAGCGCGGAGACCCTGGCTGGTAGCACTGGATTTTCCAACCGGTTGATCATTGACATCCAGAAGTTCCTGGCTGCATCCTTTGTGACAAATGAGAACGTTGAAGTCAGTGCTGAGCAAAAATCCCGTTTCAATCAGGTGATTGCTCTTGGTCCGAAGAACTCTGCGAAGATTTCACTCGTGTTCAAAGCGAATGCCAGACTCAGGACTGTGGCTCTGGTTCTGATGTGTTTTGTCCATGTGAGTCAGTCGCACTCCAAACTGGACTGGACTTGACCTGACCCTACACTAGAGTTGTAAAAGAGACATTGCGGGCATTGCATTGTTGCAGTTGCTGTCACCGTCCGTCGATGATCAGAAACCTGTTCAGGGTCCTTTGGCAGCGAATCATTTCTTGCACCAAGCGGATCATTGATGAGGCTGCGGCAGCCAACCTTGCCGCCACTTGCACTGGAGATTTGGAAAAGCTGTTGGAGGGCCTCAAGGCCTTTGCTGGCAAGGCGGATGAGGGTGTGAAGCAAAACATCTTGAAGCAGAGCAGCCTTTGCGCACGAGCCACCGACATCCTTGCGACTGCGAAAAAGTCTTCAACGGAGCAACTCTGTCAGGATGCAAAATTGTTGGAAGAAGCCATTGCCAATGTGAAGCAGGCTATGGATCAAGATTTCTATGACTGCAGCAGTTTGGTCACGCTTCTGGATGCTTGCTGGAAAGCTGACAGTGACTCTGACAAAAGGTTGAAGATTCCTCGAGACGGGTTTGAATTCGAGGTGCTCCCAACTCTGCAGAGCTTGACGATTGAAGGCGCCTGTACACCTGTTCTTTTTTTGACAGACGTGACGTGACGTGACTCAGTCGAGAACTTTTTAGACTTGACTGACTTGACTAGACTAAATACATTCAATAAAAGGGTAGGGAGAGGCAGAGATGCTTTTGGCTATAGGCTATAGGCTGTTTTATCTTTCCCATCAGTAGGTCTGGAAAACCAACTTTCTGAATTGCAATCCTTTTTGAGCAGGTGCAGTTCGTGGAATGGTTCTACGTGAGAATGAGACCAGCAACATGATCTTGGAGACTTTGGCAGGCAAGCTTCAATCCTTTGCTCAGATGGAAAAGGACTCTCCTGACTCTTTGGGTGCATGTTGCGACCTTCAGAGACAGTTTGATTTCTTAGCTGCAAAGACCTCCAATTGGAGCTCGCCGCCAGATTGGCTTCACTCCTGCAACCTGGCAGCAAGCCGCTTTTCCGCTGTGGTCAATCAAGTGGCCTACCGCTGGGCTCTTGAAGCAGCCAAGAAGGACATTGACAAGGCTCTGGAATTTGTCACGGCGGCAGACCCACCTCCCAGCATGGCTTCTTTGCACAATTGCTGCGCGATTTTCAAGCTCAAGCCCTTCTTGAAGAGCATCAACTCCAATGTTGAGAAGACCTTTGAGTATGCAGAGCTTGGCAAACGCGTGAAGACTTTTGCCACCTTGCATTCCCTCGACCAGACTTCCCTGAAAGAGATCTTCCCTGAGATCAATTCAGACTTGGTGAAGTTTCAAGATTTGATTCAGAAGAATGTTTTGGAAATGGTGGATCGGATCAACGGCAAGATGCGAAAGGCCTCAGAGACCATGAAGAATTACAGGCAGGAGTGACGGCTTCTGACTGTAACGGTCATAACTTAACTAACTCGGCTTTTTTGGCCTCCAGTGATGTTTCTTGGGTTCAAAGTCCAGTCTTGTTTTTTCCTGATCATCTTGACATTTTTGACAGGCAAATCATCAAGGCTTGCGAAATTTGGAACATGGATGACGTCAAGGATCTCCTGACAGATACCGACGTCATTACCAAGGACGTAGAATCTATGGTGGCATTTGTAGAGACCGCTGACTCCTATGACAGCTGGAACCGTGGGGCTTTGGCTTGCATGAAAGGACCAGCCTGGGCACAGAGGGAAGTCTATCAGGCTGTGAATGGTTCCAAGGGCCCGGTTCAGGACCAAGTGTGTGCACTGCTTTTGAATTCACTTCACTTCGACTTGATGTGACAGGCCACAGCCTTTCGCCCAAATGCCTACTCAACTCCCAAATGTTTGTTTCCATAGTCAATAGTTCATGGTTGTCACTTTCAAGATGCTCATGACTCGTGGCAGGATGTCCGCAAGGAGGCGGCAATGATTGTGGCATGCCTCTCCATTGCGACCATGATTCACAAAGGGGAGACCAGCGATGAGAGCCCGGACATGCGGTTGCGCACTTCTAGGAAGGTCAGCCTTTTCCTCAGCACAAACCTTGGCATGAGCATGCAGGATATGCCAGGACTTGTGAAACAAAAGTTTGATTCTTTCAGCAGCCCTCCGAAGACCGAGCCAAAGAAGGAGAAAGGTGGAAAGCTACTTGTCAGTCGGTGTTTGAGTTGTTACCTTGGACCTTGACCCTTGAACTGGATGCACTTATTTTAGATTGGGTCGCGTCAAATGGTCAGGGGATGTTGGGAGCACATGTCCAACAGATTGGGAGTGCTTTTAATATGATTTTGATTTGAGAGTTTTTTTGCAACAGTCCTCCTGGACTCAGGAGTGAGAAGAACACTGAGAAGACAACAGCAGCAGCAGCAAAGAAGAAGAAGACAGACTCTTCCACCCCTTCGGCGCCGTCAAAGCGGGTGAAGAAAAGCTGAGAGTGAGGGCAGTGAGAGCTCTCAATTTTGTGAACTTTGGTTCAGTGGGGGTCAAGACATCCCATAGCCTGAACGGAGCTAGTTTGTGAAATTGATTGGCCTATTCCAGAGACATGCAAAGGCCATGACGACAAGACGGGATGTGGAAGGGAAAATAAACAGCAGCCAGTGACAGGTGTTTGCCTGTTGTGCAGTTGAGAGTTTGTTTACTGTGGTTGGGTGTGTAGTTTCTGTCAAATGCTTTGCATAGTTCAGGAGGAGTTTATATATAGTTCAGGATGAACTTATATATAGTTCAGATGAATTTATATATAGTTCAGAGCCTATGTGGGCCTCCAACAGACAAAGAGGCCCACGCACACAATAAGTTAATTGTTTCAACTTTTAGGGTTCAAGGCTCTTTTGGGACTTTTGCGTGTGTGCTTTTTATGCACGGTTCTTTGTTTGGAAGGCTTTTGAGATCTTTTGAGTCTTTGTGGTTAAGATGCTGGGGCCAGCGGTGCAAACCCACCAAATGGGTGGCAAATGGCCGCAAGGAAAGCGCACCACATGCGCAAACAAACACCGGGTGAACCACCTCAAAATGGGTTGGATGTGAGAGGGTTCTGTTTTTCTTTGAATGATTGTGGCCCTTGTTACTTCTGTTAGCCCTTTTCGAAATGCGTATGTTGTTTTTAGCAAAGGAAGCGTAAGGTATATACATCTATAATTTTGTCTCTGCTGCGGCCACCCAAATGAGAGATCGCTCAAGATTATGTGCATTTTTTTTTGGGGGGGGTCTGTCCTATTACCTGTAACAGTCAGACTAAACAAAATCATCACCATTTTTAGAGAAAGGCCTGCAACGGAACCATCATCCACTGCCCACCGGAGGGCGCCTCAGGGGTGTCGCCAGTTCCGCCAGACATCCCATGAAATCACAAGAAAAGCTGTGGCGCCATGGGTCAATCCTCAATACTGTAAATTGCAAGAATATGATGAGATTGCTGTTTTAGGTGAGGGTAGTTTGCGGGTATTGAATTTGCGGAGTTCCATACATTGCAGCGCAGTCCGAGTCCAGTCCAACATATGTTGCTATGAGATGCCCGGGGTGGTGCATACGGTATGGCCGGCACCGAGACAATCCATGGAATGTATGGTACATACGTTGGGATCGTTGACCCGGAGTCAATGTAGGCAAGATATGGCAGTCCCATTAGTCAAGAGGTGTCCCTCAACCCACTAGGGAAGGTCCGAATGTGAAGCAGTTCGTGGGGTTCTCTCGCGCTTCGAGATCGATGCGATTCCATCCGTCCAGAGGACTGGTCTTGGAGCTGTTCGGGTGATAACTCTTCATGATGTTGGGCCCTTTGTTGCGCTAGAGCTGAAGAAGCTTGGAACAACCAGCACCCTCCAACAGGTCTCCGTCTTGAAGAGGTCTCAATTGGTGAGGCACTAAGGGTGCTGGTTATTGCGTTTAGGGTTGCCAGGTTTGCCTGGGTCGTTTGATGAGAGAAAAGGACCAGTTTCAAGGGACCGGGATGAATGTATAGGGAAGCATTTCTTTGTATTTCCAATCTGAACAAAAGCTATAGAATGATGAGGTGCCCTAGTTTTTATTTTTTGCTTGGATAGCGGCCTCATCGGGTATTCATCATCCTCACAATCATATATAAGTTCCACTATAACATATAATCATTCTTGCTAGGCAAACCACTTTTTGCCCCGAAGAGCTCCATGTTCGATTGCTCATAGCAGCTCAGCTCCAGCTAGCAGCTCCAGCTCCAGCTACTCCAGCTCAGCTGCCAGGACTGCCAAAAGAAGCTCTGGCGCGTCGATAAGTCGGCGAATGCCACGGTCTATGAGCGTCACATGTGGGTCCGGAGAGCCTCCGCGCAAGGGCGGCGCCCGACGCGGCGGAGGTTTATCCACGGGGTGGAGGGAGCAGAGTCTCAGAGGTGTTTCGAAAGGATCCGAGTCAGAGGTTCTTATATAGGGTGTGTTCTACATGAACAGTTCGTTGAAATGGCTCAGGATGGTCGACGCCAAGTTCCACCGATGATAATTTTCTTTCAACATGACAGCGATTTCATTCATGACGATGATTGCATTCATGTTTGAATCCTGCCGTCGCGCGTCAACAGTTTTCCACATGAGTGTTATGTGTTTTTCGTCGAATGGCCGGAGGACACCTCAGTGTTTTCTGAACGTTTTTGTGATTGCTAATTAATATTGGGCAATCCGGCAATGTGAAAGAGCCACACCCACAGGTCATTTTTGTCGACACTGAATTGATTTGTTGAACGGGCTTGATGTTTCCTTCGCCCTTTGCAGAAAGGATCCCCAGCCGTCGAGCCCCAAACAAGCTACGCTTTGCGACGGACCAGTCGTCAAGACAACGACAGTGAAAAAACCTTCTCTCAACCAGTGCCTACCAGATATGTATGATCAAATCAATCATTCCCAGAGCATCCATAGAAGCGGATTTTGTACACAATCACATACAATATCACATAAATTTACCCCATGTATGCTGTATGACTATGGCCCATCCATATCATCCATGTAGGTAATCAATTCCAGTCCCATGGATGGTGAAATATTGGTTGGACTCAGTCCCACATGCCAAATCCACCAAAACGCGCCTTCTCACCAACAGCGTGGGCTCGACAGCGTTGGCTTGTCAGTGTGCCAGGCTCTACTGGGTTTGAACCATGCAGTGCGCGTGCAACCCACAGTAGAGCTCATGGCCTCTTGGGTCGAATGGGACAGGGCCTCAAACCAGCGAAGGATGTGGGGACCGGGGTAGGTCAAGGCTGTGGGATCCGAAGGACCCCACAGCCTTGGAGCCGATCACGTAAATACCATCCGATCGCATGCCGACGTTCATCACTCCCACGACTTGGCACGAACCAAGAAATCCACTGTGGGTTGAGCACAGTGATTCCTGGTTTGGGTTGAAAAGGGCAGGATGGGTGCCATCTCTTTCCATGCTGATCTGTCCCGGCCATCGGTGAGGCCAGATCAACATTGCTCTAGTTGTTGCTGGAATAAAAACAGGTCACCAATTGAAACTTGCAACAGGGCCCTTCCCAACCCTCCATGCTGAGATTTGTTGGAAGATGCTGGTAGTTGTTGCTGGAAGGTCTTCGACTCTCCGCCCTGACAAGACGAGACTCGATCCGCATCCATCGGTCGGTTGGGTCTCGTGCCGACCGCAGTCTCGGCCGCAGTCTCGGCAGCCTCGTCTTGATCGATGTCCTCGGTGAACCGATTTGGGTGTGTAGTTTTATAGGGAGACAGGAGTCAGACACTGAAGTCACTGAAGCAAGGAGACACTGAAGCATCGATTTTCCTGAAAACCGAACCGAGGTCGATGCACAACACGCCAAACAGAGGTCTCCCATGTCTGGTTTGGCTACCCATGTGGACAACCCTTTGACCCATCGAAAGCCACCCAAAACTGGGAAGTGACATGAAGTGGCAATTCTGCAATATACCACACCCACCTGTCCCACCTCCTCAGCTTCGGTGCTATGAAGACCCCCACCCCACGGACCTCCTCAGCTCCAGATCCCACCCGCATCCACCCACCGAACCTGGGAGTGTGGGACATGAGATCGATGCGATCCGAGTGAAAGACCACCTTTGGACCGGAGTGAAAAACCACTCATATAGAGTCTGCCAGATAGGCCAGTAAAAGATATAGTAAAATCATGTTCCACATGCATTGGATACTGTTTCTATAAGGGATCTCTATACCCTAGACTTCCAAGACCATTGAAAAAATGGTTGACCTGGTTTTTGTAGTATAAAATCCTTGGTTGATTCGGGGTGGTTGGAAGCCTAGGGTATATTAACCTGGATCTTCAAACGGCACAAATTTTTGCCGGGGGCATTTTTTGGTGAAAAGACGCCGTAATCAAAAAAAAAATGCCGTTTTTTGGGTTGTACAAAATCCATGGACGGGGAAAGACGCCGTTTGGACGCCCAAAGA